TTTGTTTGCCCCTCAGCTAATATGACGGACCTGTCAAAAGTCACGTGACCTGGAATGCCTGATTATTGTAAACCATAATTTATTTGTTAATAAAGCAAAATTAATAAGTAAACAGTAATTTAATTATTGCGAAGAATAAAACTAAGTACCAAACAGTTTTTTTGCTCTACAGGCCAAATGGCTCATTTGCGGACATATGTTTATATAAACAAAAATGCTTGTTTTGATGTCCCCTACTACCCCTCAAAGTTTGTCGGTATCTTTTTGGAACACCCTGTATATTTTTTGAAAAATCGTAAGTGACATTATTGGTTCGTCTGAGTAATTACATACAGCATACCACAGTCACAGTATCATTTTTGTATGTTGTGAAGTGCTCTTTGCCTTTCGTGTAACGTGATCTATGTGGGGAAGACAGTTGTTAACAGTGTGTCATCAACTTTGTTTTGGTTTCACTCAGAACTAGTTCGACATCATTCTGCACATGCGCATATTATAAAACGCGTTACTGTCAATTTTAAAAAATAACCTTCCAATATAATATAATATAATATGTCTTCTAATATTGACATCCGTAAGATGTCAAGACGTCTATAATGTGGAAGTGGCTGCAGGGGCTTTTTGGGAACCTCCTTACCCGAGACAATTACCTACGAAGCAAATCCCTCTGACGTACGAATCTTCATGGGAAAAAGTATTGAAGAAACCAATTCCATTCAATACTCCGGTACCGAAAATCTAGGAGAGTGTAACGTTATGAGAAGTATAAACGAGCTTTCTACTACATTCACAAATGAGTTCAAACCTTCCGGTAAGTACAGGAAGATGGTAAAACCGCTGCATTTACAAGGGAGATCAAAATTGGAGTAAGGAGTAGTCTACAAACCGAGAATTAACCGCGAATAAAAATTAATGGAACTGTGAGACAAAAAATGTCTCAGTGTCATTTTTGGAAAATTTTCAATGTTCGGATAAATTCAGTTTTGGAGCTTCTCAGGTGCAAAATTATTTAAGCCAAATTAAAATTTAAAATGAGTGGGTCATTTTTGAAAAATTTTCAATGATCCATAAATTCAATTTTAAAACTTCTCAGGTATAAAACTGTTGAAATCAAACTTAAATCTTAATTAACAGGTTTGTAGAGAACTTACTTGGTTTTAATTAGAGCCTACTTGCTTTGAAATCGGAGAAGTATTGACGGAACTGTGAGGCAAAAAAAATTTTGTTAAATCTCCTTTCAAAGCTTCTGAAAAATACTTCCACTAATCAGAATAAATTTAAACTTCCCGCAAAATCCATTAACTAAAGTTTAAATAATCAATTTGCAAAGTTCAAGACTTTTAAAAGTAACTTCATTGTAATGATTCAGAAATTAGACCCGTAAATCACAATGTCTTTATTGTAAAAATTAAATAATATCAAATAATCAAAAACTGAATTTCCGGTATTTCCAAATCAGTATCAATAAATTAAAAATGGAACAAATTAATGTGACCCCAAATACATTCGAAATTATATCATCTCTTTCAGCGTGATGTCATCCTAACATCCGATCAATGAACTTTTTTAACGAGACCATAATAATTAAATCGAATGATTTATGGCATTCTTGAACCAATGTATTTGACCCCGATAAATCAGGATATTGCGACATAATTATTCGATTTTTTAAACTAAAAATTTCAAGGAAATTGCATCATTATTTTTAATAATATCTAGGTCGGCCAATAAGATTGTCTTATTGATGGTCAAACAACCGCCTATTGACGATTTTGTGGGATAATTAATAATACTTTGCGATTAAATATAAATACCGTGGTTTTAGAAGTGGAAGGCAGTTGTCAGTTGAGTTGCCAGTTGTTAGCAGTTCAGTCCTGTTTGAGTTAAAGTCTACAGTACCTAATGAGTCATAAGGGTTGAAATTCGCGAAAAGTTCTTATTAAGGCCTCGGGGAAAAACGCGTTCGATTTAACTTAGAAAAAGTACGGAAAATTGTGAAAGAAATAACATTTGAAATTTGTTCAACTTATGTGCAGGTTCTAGATATTTTTTTGAGTAATTAATTAAGTAATTTTACGTGTGAAAAGTTAAATGTAATTACTTTAGTGGTTAATAATTCTCTGACTTTTATCAATGATTCTGAATGATAGGAAGTGAATTAACAATGACTTTTAATGCCTAAAACTTGAGTGATTTTTACTAGTAAAACTTTTGACTTTATAAAAGATTAATGACAATAAAGTGAAATATCAAGGGAACATTATTGCATAACTTTAATTGCCTTCAGATATAATGACATTTTAATTTAATTGTGCAAAGAAAATATGAAGGGAATTTATAATGCCCTTAACAATATACAATTTTGAGTAGGAATTATGAATTAAACAGTTGGGTTTATTAGCTAGGCAAGGAATCGGAAAATAGAATTTGTTCTAATTAAATAAACTATTAAATGGAACAGGAAATTTTGAAAAGAAACTTGATGTTCATGAAATAGAATTGTTGTCTTAAAATATTGGAAAGTTGTTAAAGGAAACTTATTGTTCATGGAATGAATTTTACAAATTAAAATCTAAAATAACAGGTTTGTAGAAAATTTAATTAGCTTTGATTAGAGTCTAATTGTGTTGAAATCAGATGAAAATTACCAGAGCTGTAAGGCAAAAACTGTGTCATTTTTGAAAAATTTTCAAATGATCCATAAATTCAATTTTGAAACTTCTCAGGTACAAAACTGTTGAAATCAAACTTAAATCTTAATTAACAGGTTTGTAGAGAACTTACTTGGTTTTAATTAGAGCCTACTTGCTTTGAAATCGGAGAAGTATTGACGGAACTGTGAGGCAAAAACTATCTCAGTGTCATTTTTCCCGTAAAAACACTTAAAAATCTTGCTAAATCTCCTTTCAAAGCTTCTGAAAAATACTTCCAGTAATCAGAATAAATTTAAACTTCCCGCAAAATCCATTAACTAAAGTTTAAATAATCAATTTGCAAAGTTCAGGACTTTTAAAAGTAACTTCATTGTAATGATCCAGAAATTAGACCCATAAATCACAATGTCTTTACTGTAAAAATTAATTGATATCAAATAATCAAAAACTGAATTTCCGGTATTTCCAAATCAGTATCGATAAATTAAAAATGAAACAAATTAATGTGACCTCAAATACATTCAAAATTATATCATCTCTTTCAGCGTGATGTCATCCTAACATCCGATCAATGAACTTTTTTAACGAGGCCATAATAATTAAATCGAATGATTTATGGCATTCTCGAACCAATGTATTTGACCCCGATAAATCAGGATATTGCGACATAATTATTCGATTTTTTAAACTAAAAATTTCAAGGAAATTGCATCATTATTTTTAATAATATCTAGGTCGGCCAATAAGATTGTCTTATTGATGGTCAAACAACCGCCTATTGACGATTTTGTGGGATAATTAATAATACTTTGCGATTAAATATAAATACCGTGGTTTTAGAAGTGGAAGGCAGTTGTCAGTTGAGTTGCCAGTTGTTAGCAGTTCAGTCCTGTTTGAGTTAAAGTCTACAGTACCTAATGAGTCATAAGGGTTGAAATTCGCGAAAAGTTCCTATTAAGGCCTCGGGGAAAAACGCGTTCGATTTAACTTAGAAAAAGTACGGGAAATTGTGAAAGAAATAACATTTGAAATTCGTTCAACTTATGTGCGGGCTCTAAAGATTTTTTTGAGTAATTAATTAAGTAATTTTACGTATGAAAAGTTACATGTAAGTACTTTAGTGGTTAATAATTTTCTGACTTTTATCAATGATTCTGAATGATAGGAAGTGAATTAACAATGACTTTTAATGCCTAAAACTTGAGTGATTTTTACTAGTAAAACTTTTGACTTTATAAAAGATTAATGACAATAAAGTGAAATATCAAGGGAACATTATTGCATAACTTTAATTGCCTTCAGATATAATGATATTTTAATTTAATTGTGCAAAGAAAATATGAAGGGAATTTATAATGCCCTTAACAATATACAATTTTGAGTAGGAATTATGAATTAAACAGTTGGGTTTATTAGCTAGGCAAGGAATCCGAAAATAGAATTTGTTCTAATTAAATAAACTATTAAATGGAATAGGAAATTTTGAAAAGAAACTTGATGTTCATGAAATAGAATTGTTGTCTTAAAATATTGGAAAGTTGTTAAAGGAAACTTATTGGAATGAATTTTGAATTAGGGTTTTAAATTTCATGTAGAAATTATTGTAAGGTTTAATAAGAATAAGTTAGTAAGTAATACCTATATTAATAAACAAATAGGTATATAATTATTTTGGGTTTTTCATAAGCAGTCAGTAAAGGACCTAGAAATTTTAAAGAATTAATAGAAATAGGTGAAGGGTAGTTTGATAGGAATGAATCGAATGAGTTAACTTATAAGTTATTAGAAATAGTAGGAATAGGGCGTTTCTTTATTTGTATGGATATTTCAGTGGTCCATAATAATGACGGATGTGAAGTAATTGAATTTAGAAAAATAGATGAGGCTGTCAGAATTAGAAGATATTTTGCTGATTTAATTTTTTGGGTTTTATGTATAATAAAATATAATTAAGTAAACCTCAATAGTTTGTTTCTCTCTCTTCTCTTGCAAATAGACTCTTCCACAATTTTATAGGTAGCAGCTCCAAGAAAATAAACACCATCAATATACCGCTCGTCATTTACCATCTAACTAATTACATAGAGTACTTGGGGCGTTTTGCTACATCATATATACTCCTGGACAAAATTATCGCACCACTGCATATAAGCATCACCATAAGCAGTGGTGCGATAATTTTGTCCAGGAGTATACATACTTTGAAAGTTGCCTCATATCCTTTAACACCAACTTTGATCCCTTGGAAATTAATGTATATTAACACTTTTTTTGACTTATTTTGGATTCTTTGAACGTTGACTGAGACTATAGAATCCTTTTTAAGGATTAAATAAAAAAGAAAAAAACTCAACCATAAATCATTTTTTATTAAAATTAAAATCAACTTACAAAATACCTTTATCTGACTAGAAAAGCGAACCCTTTAAGTAGCCACTGCCAAATTACTGAAACCCTAAAAACAATTTAAAAAGCATCACAACCATTATAATTTACTCTTAAAAAATCCACCTTGCGTTTCTTTCAAATTCTGAAAATGCCTTTTCCCATCAATATACAACATCGCTTCGTAGTAAGTTTGCGGCAAAACTTGCGGTACCACATCGGGAGCCTCCAAAGTAAAATGAAAAGCATTAGTAGTTTGCGTCAACCCCGACAAAGGATTATAAACTTGCGCAAACACCAAAGTTTGAATAAAATTGTTTTTGGTATACACAACAGTGGCGTGCATTTGGATCAAGGAATTAATCGGAATGGGATGCTTGAAGGAAATATCGCCCATACTGCGCGTGCGCGGCCGGTACCTACAAAACATATACCCAGCTATCCAGCTGAGTTCAGTGGCGTGACGCATTATAAACCCACCGAATACCGTATTGTGTAAGTTACGGTCTTCTGGCTGAGCTAAAATCGCGTTGGAGATTTTGGTACTGCTCATCCAAACGCTTTGAGGAGGCAAAATCCGTTTGGACATGCTAACATCATTTGGATCTGATGTTTTAACATAAATACTGTGCAATAATTGTTGCTCTTCAGCGCTAGGCACTTTTTTCGAAATGTGACTAGAATCCAATGCCAAACGTCTCACTTTTCGGGCGTCACCTCTAATTAGAATTTGTTTTTCCTCTTCGTTGGCCGGCTCGATGGCATTAACAGGTGTGGAGTAAGTATTTGAAGGGTCTCTGGCCGCTAGCATAAACAAAGCTCTGGTGATGCGCTGCCAATGGTTGTCTTCGAACTGGTCCAGCCAAACTACTACTTCTATAGTGGATTTGCTGACCCAGGTCACGTGACCGGATATCTTTATGTCTTTATTGGGCTGCAGAAGAGTTTTGGTTAATTTTTTGAGTTGGATTATGAGATGAGTAAGGTTTGTGATGGATTGTTGTGAGCCAGATGTTATGTGATCTGATTAGTGGAATTCCCAAATAACCCATCCTTGAACCATATTATGATCGTTTTATTGTTGAGAATTGAACTAGAAAACTTCAACCATTTAAGAGTAAAAAACTGAGACAAAATTGACAAAATTTGCTTCTTGAAGAGCTACAATCCTATTGGGAAATTATGTAATAATATCTCATTTCTAAATTTTTTGGTTGAAAATTCAATAGGAAAGTTATAAAAATCTCTTTTCTGTAGGTATTTAAGTTCCTAGGGTTGTTTAATGTTTGTTTTAAATAATTTAGTGTTCTCTTATGTCAATAATATATTTTATATTTTTTAACTTGAAAAAGATGGGGGGGATTCCCTAGAAACAAAAGAAATAAAATGAGGTTTACATATCTAGTTTTTGTCCTTTATTCCTGCTTCTTCAATAATTGTACATTATGCCCTAAAACTTCACACAGAACCATTTCAATTGAACATGCAAGAGTACAAATATGAAAAACAATTAAGTAGATATGTATTAGACTGTGACATGAAAAAAGCAGTGAAATTAAATTAAATTTCATGTAAAATTTCTTACCTTCGGCATGTATTCGCTAAATTCAATTCTATCTACCAACACTGTGACTAGAGTTTGAGGAAAATTCACATCCTTGGGTAACTTCGGATTGTGAATGTGCTTACGAGCTACAATCACTGAAATCAAATAAATTCAATTAAATTAAATTATTTATGTCCGATTGACCAATAAAGTGCTATTTATAGAACAGTTTTGCGTCAATAAAGTAGCACTTTATTGTACTAGTAAAATAAAGTGCTACTTTATTTTACTAGTAAAATAAAGTGCTATTTTATTGCCGACTTGGACTACCTGATAAGGTGAAAAAGGTCCTGACAACCTGCCAAAGTGAAACAGGTATACCTACGCGAATTTTAGTTTTTCATTCAATTTTTTTAATTTTTAACAAAAACCAAGCGGAATCGTACATAAAATCATGTATATAACGCTTACATAAACAGGCTTTATTGACTCATTATTTAATAGCCTCACTAGCAAGCTCGCTCGGCCATAAAATTATTCGTACAATAAAGCCTTAGTTTATGTACTTGTTATATAAATAGCTATTATTTGCTCACAAACTTAATATGTATAAAGTCATCTAAAAAGGACTGAGCAGGGGCTTATTTATGACTTGTCCTGTATTTTTTGAAATATTTAGAATATTTTTTTTTCCGGAGAATTCAAAAATGGAACCAAAAAATAATTTTAACCAAAAACCAACGGATGAACTCTTTTAAATATTTTTGTATTTTAGTATTTTTAGAAAATTTGCGTTTTTTAATGTTTATTCTGTTGACTATTTCACTAAAGTGTATTACACCGGTTATACAACTCACTGTACATTTTTCCCATATGACACGGGAGGCTTAATAAGTGATAAGCCTTTTGGGATTATCGCGCTTGGTGGCAATATGTCATTAATAATAATAAAAATTAATAAAGTATGAAAGTTTAGTTCGTTTTATAACCTTTTGAATACCACTCGATGTTTCAGGATTACCTACCTAATACTTTTACCTGACACTCAACGCGTTACCAGCAACACCACTCCTCCTTCGGAGTCGTGGTGTTGCTGCGTAACGCGTTTCGTGCCAGGTAAAAGCATTATCCGGTAATCCTGAAACCTCCTTGTGGAATTACATTCGACAATAAATTCGGTATTCACCTGAAAATAATGCTAGGTACCTGGACAATACCAACAACATGGTATTTCAGCGACCATCTTTTGACATTGTCAAACTGATATTTTTAATTTAAAGTTTTTATTCATATTTTTGGATTCTATTTATTTTCAAAATCTTACGTGAAATAGTCATGACGAATACCACTCGAGAAAAAATTGTGAAGGCAAAATTGTTCTCGAGGTTTTATTCAAGTTTGTTCTTTTTCGGCAGTGGCGTAACTAAGGGTCCGCAGATGCGGGGGGCCCCGTGATCTTGGGCCCCCGCGGAGCGCTAGACCAGGCGAAAGTACTAAACTAGTGACAAGAGTATTACTAAACTGAAATAAAATACTACAACATATTATGAACCTCATAATACATATCAACCATTGAAAAAGTATGTCTGGTCTAACCAATGTAAAAAATCTCAAGTCATTTTTAAGCGAATAACCACAATTTTGTGGTTTTAGCCGCGGTTACGCTTTGGTTCAAAATGACAGATCACTTGATGACGTCATTTCAATGTATTCGCTTAAACGAATGAATTTTGATTTCACGCTGGCCGAAAAATGGGAAAGAGGAGAGAACTTCCCTTTTTTTCTGGAGATGTGTTTTTTTTTGAAGACAGTGCGAAAATAATTGATTTGTTCAGGAAATCTACCAATTATTGTTGCATTTTTTTTTTTAAAGGGGGTGTGACCCCAAAAAACGACATAAGCTACTGGAATCAAGAAAAAAATTCTAAGATCTCTCGTGAGATCCGCAGTCCTATATTCAAAATAGTCTGCGAGAAAATTTCTTGTGAAGATAAATTATGCAGGAACATGTGATGTCACAACCGCCGAAATCGCAGTCTTCTGTTCGTTCAGTCATCAGTGAACCGTACCCTATACTTTGAGTGGTTGCGATTCGCTCTAGGAAGTAATTGTCTTTTATTTTGGAAAATTTTTACACGTGTTAATACTGTCCCTGATAGTCCAGTGTGACGTCACAAACGCCAAGTTGTAACTTTAAACCGCCCTAACTCGAAAACGGAGCATCGTAGCAAGATGCGGTTTAGATATTTATTCTTAGATTTTTTTGCACTAAAACTTTCATTTTTGGGTCACACCCCCTTTAAGGAAAGACATATGAGACCGAATTCACTTGAAACAGATAACTTGCCATTAAGAGGCCAGCAACAAATTCAAGCGCGCGAAATTCATTCTTTGTCGCCGAGTTCAAAGTAGGACCGTGATAGACGACGTTACGGCAAATATTTCCGAGATAACGGAAGGGTGTGATCAAATTGCATGGAAGGTGAATAATAAATCCTATGGGCTTTTGTGGAGGCAAAACTAATACACCTATCATATTTAATATAAATTAAAAAGTATACAGTTATAATAATAGTTTTATAATTTACATTGTGCTTTTTATTTAACAAATAAGAATGTGGAGAATGAAATGTGCGGAAACACAAAAATATATTACGAAGATAATAAAATGTACCTATACAAATACAGCAAAATAGATACTTGAAATGTTTACACCAAAAAAAAGTGAGGTGGCGTAGTTACGAGGGTGGGAGAGATGATGTTTATTCGTTTATTACATAAAGAACTTCCAGAAAACCTAGAAAAATAATAAACATTGGTGAGATTGCTCATGAAAACCTCGGACACATCGATTTTTGATTTCAGTTGCCGTTTTTCTGATGGTAATATCATGTATACAGGGTGACCCAGAAACAAGTTGTGACAGCTAACTTTATTTTTTTAAATGAAAACATTAATTTTGAAGTGAAAACTTCTTTAGAATCGTTGGGAGTGATGTGAGACTCGATGAAACGAAAAAGCGACACTTTTTTAACACGCTTATATTAACACACAACAAGAACCTGGAACAAGCCAAGTGAGCTGGAACAAGTCTGGAAAATGTCTGGATAAATCTGGATGAAGTCTGGAAAAGTCTGGAAATATCTGGAAACGTCTGGAAAGAGCCTGGAAATTTCTGGAAAGGGTCGGAAAAATTCTGCCAAAGGTCCCAAAAGACCTGGGGATCATTCTCCAGAATCCGGATCAGTCTGTACAAGTCTGGATTAGGTCTGGATAAATCTGGCAAAAGTCTCTAAAACTCTGGAAATCTCTGGATAAGTCTGGTTATTGTCTGGAAAAGTCTGGAAACGTCTGAAAAAGACTTGGAAATTTCTGGAAAGGGTTGGAAAAAATCTGAAAAAGGTCCCAAAAGACCTGAGGATCATTTACCAGAATCCGTATCAGTCTGAACAAGTCTGAATAAAGTCTGGATTAATCTGGATGAAGTTTGGAAAACTCTGGAAGGGTCTGGATAATGTCTGGAATTCTCTGGAAACGTCTGGAAAGAGCCCGGAAATTCCTGGAAAGGGTCGGAAAATTCTGCCAAAGGTCCCAAAAGACCTGGGGATCATTTTCCAGAATCTGGATCAGTCTGTACAAGTCTGGATAAGGTCTGGATAAATCTGGATAAAGTCTGTAAAACTCTGGATAAGTCTGGATATTGTCTGGAAAAGTTTGGAAACATCTGGAAAAGACTTAGAAATTTCTGGAAAGGGTTGGGAAAATTCTGAAAAAGGTCCCAAAAGACCTGGGGATCATTTTCCAGAATCCGGATCAGTCTGAACAAATTTGAATAAAGTCTGGATGAAGTCTGGAAAACTCTGGAAAGCTCTGGATAAGTCTGGATAATGTCTGGAAATCTCTGGAAACGTCTGGAAAGGGCCTGGAAATTTACTTTTTTGCAACTTTGACAGGCTGTAAAACCTGAACGGTTGATTTTAGAGCTAAACCGATCATACATTCTTATCTGAGTTTTCCATGAACTATTATTTGACACCAGCTAGGAAATTAATCCAAGATTAAAAATTCCATTGCTTGAGTTGTATTTTAGCTATTTTTGGGTTTGAAAAAAGGACGGTTCTACACCATTTCCACTTTTAGTTCAAAATAGATAAATTTGATTTCAAAAAGCATCAAATGTATTTCAAAATAATAACTTTAATTTAAAAAAATATCAAATGTATTTCAAAATCATCAATTGAACATCAAAAAGCATCAATTTAATTTCAATCTGTATAAATTGTATTTCAAAATACATCAAATGTATTTCAAAATAACCAAATTTAAGTTTTTCGAAAAACATCAAATTTATTTCAAATTATATAGTAAGAAGGTACCGAAAACTTTGAAAGGTCATAACTTTTTTTTCTATTAAAGATAGAAAACCGAAATTTTCAGCGATTTTTATCCCAGTGGAGGACTATGTACAATCCTTGAAAATTTCAGTAACGTGTATGTAGTTAATGACGGTTAAAAAAAAAGTCAGTTACCTATATTGAACAGTTGAAAACATCTCATTTATTACTATGTACCATCGTCACCAAAAGTAACTGGGACAGCATCACATTAGCTCTTGTCCTATTATATGAATTTTATTGTCAAATATTTATCAAACTATGAGTTAAATGCATTGAAATGAATGACACTAGAATTAGTCCAGGAGAATATTATACATTATTTGTGCCCCAGATACTTTTGGTGACGATGGTACATACATTAAAATTAGATAATTTTATATTATATTATTATAATACATTAAATCTATTTAAACTGAAAATAACGTAAACTAAAAAAACTACGTAAACTATTGCCCTACGGGCATATCTTCTAAAGCTAAAGCGGATCCATGAAAGGTCGATGAATGTTGCACCGCTCGAGCGCAATCTCCCCCTACAACAGTATTTTTCCCCATGTCTACTAAATGTTCCAGGTTAACCAGTCTTTGTTCTACAACTCCAGGCGCCACTACTTCTGGAATGCCCATATTACTTTTGACGTAACTTTTTATCTTAGACCAAATTGTTTCGATTGGGTTTAACATTGGGGAATATGGTGCCAGTCTTAGAACTACAACGTCATGAAGTACTTGTTCCAATCTGGAATGGCATGGAGCATT